CCCCAAAACCCCAAAACCCCAAAACCCCGAGAGAAAGAGTTTAGTAAGTTTAGAGTTTAGAAATATTTAATAGAATTAAACCAAATTCACTTCAACTCAACAAGACTCAATGGATCAATTCTTCAACTAAAACATCGAAACTTATTTTAAGTAGTTTCATCAGGCTTCAGATAGCCATGGTGCTGCAGAACTCATCTCAGATAGTGATGAGAATATCTACGATAGAATTGAGGAAAGAGTTTCTGAAATGATCAGAAAGCCAGAATTTATAGACAAGACTATCATTAATCTCCCTGATATTGCAGGTATCATTAAGCCACTTGAATGTGCTGTGTGCCAATATGTGGCTAATTAACCCTAATTTATAAAGTATTGCTTGCATTTCTTCTGCAAAAGTTGCATTGAGACCTAGATATCTATAAAGTAAGAATATTATAGTTTTATAGTTTTAGTAAGAAAGAATGCCCTTTATGCAAAAAAAGTATGGGGACAAGAAGAGAATTGAGACGCAATTAGAACATTGAGTCTGTCATTCATATACTTAGACCAATCATTAATCTTTATGAAGACTAATAATTTGCAAGTTCTAGTTAGCTTAAAGAGAATTTCTTGTAAGAAATGAGGGATCTAGCAGAAATCAAGGAAAAATAACAAATGCAAATGAGCAAAGCCAATAAGGAGGATGAAAAAATTGAGTCAGAAGATTTGGAGAGTTAGGACAGTAATTTCCTAAGGAATCTGACAGAGAGGTAAGTAGGCAGAAAAAGAGGATCAAAGCAGAGACAAGAGGAAGAGGAGGAATCTGACAATGAGAATGGAGAGCTCGATATTTTTGAGATTGAATAAAGATAAATAAGAAGGAAGGTTAGTAGACTCAGATAAGGTGGAAAGGGTTAGAACAATCTCTCTGTTGAAGATAGTCTGTAAGAAAAGTTAATGCATATAGCACAGTAGAATTCAGACCTCAATAATAAACTGGATGAGCTAAAGAACCATCTCGCTTCTCCAGAGGAAATAAAGTATTATACTAATTATGAGAGACTCAAAGTTTAACTCAGAAATGATTAGAACTTTATACGAAGAAACCTTAAGATTTTGGAAAGATTACCAGTCTTAGATTTAAAGATTAAAATCTTATTTGATGAGGACTTGAAAACTTTAGCATTTCCTAGTGTGAAAGAATTTATTTTCAGAGCTTCATCTGATACTACACTTGAGATAGCAGCAAAAGTACTTTCTAATAAGAATCAGCACCCAAATCTTTGGAGATATTACTCTTTCTCAGTAATCAGAAAGAGAAAAGTCGGAGAGGATTAGTATGAATAATATGAGTTTGAAATTAAGAATATGAAGAAAAGTTTTGGGGATTTTAAAGATGACATCGACTAGAATGATCTTGTCTTATTTTACAAAATTGAATGTGAATTTGAATCACCTTTCGTATGTATTCAAAATTTGAGGAATGGAAACTCAATGATCAGAGAGAAAGAATGAAGATTGATAGCATTTGTATCTTTAATAATCCTAATCGCACTCTTGATATATTGATTTATTAATTTTAAAATTAAATTATAATCAGGATTGATGAAATTAATTAAACGTATTCAAGCATTTTCATTGCTAACTAACTAAGACTCCTCGATATCAACACAGTTTACTTTCACATATTCTTTAAAGTAACCCTCCAAGTCATCAAAGTTTTCTCTAATGTTTTCAAACATTCTATGATACTGATGAACATTGTGAATTGCAATTAGGATATTAGCATTCATTTCCTTGACTTCTAATAGATGATATAGATATCCTCTGTTATAGTTTTTGCAAGTGTAGCATTCACATTCCTTGACTAGTTTTTCTTCTGATGTTTTATTTTCTTCTTTAGATAAAACCAAAGTCCTTTAATCTTTTTTCTGCATCATTTTAGACATTTCTAGGAATAGATAGTCATCTCTATCTTCTCCTTGTTATGATTCCTCCTTCCTTTAAATTTTTACATCTTCAATTAAGATAGCGATTCCTCTTTCAGCCATAGTTAATGGATAGTCAGATTCAAATAGATCAATACCTGAGATGATTCCATTAAGAACATCAACTATAGATACATCAATTTTAGACATTTAAAATACCTGGAGTTCCCATTCCATGATGTGCTCTAATCTTTTCTTTAGGCATAGTATTGAAGAACTATTTCATTTCTGAGTAGGCAGCTGGCTAGACTAATTAATCAGTGCCATAAATCATAAATCCTTAATGCCTATTACTTAAAATAATTTACCTTAATAGTAAAGGCTTTTATCCTCATCTTCATCAATAAATCTTTGTTAAATTTATCTCATTTCGTAATTATCTAGCCCATCTTTATCCCCAAGTAATATTGGCATCAACAGCATTTAATTCTTATCCTCTTATTTGACTATTTTTTAGAAGTTAATGAAATTCTTAAGAGCTGCCTTTTAAGATCTCTTGCGCTTTTATTTTCCACTAGTAAATGTTACCTGCTCACAGGGAGAAACTATGAAGTCAGGTTGATTTTATACTGCGAAATCAAAGTATTTCTAGACATTCACCTTATGTCTGTTATTAACTTAGAAATGAACATCATCATTGAATCCCGACATCTTTTCCTTATCCATTGAATATGCAAATGGAGTAAGCATTGTGATTTTATCATTGTAATTAAAGTATCTCTTCAAAGGATTTTTAGATTTAGTCTCATCTTTTTTCTCTTTTTCTAAATGGACTTAGAACTTTTCTAAAGTTCCGATATATTCATGCATATCAGGAAAGTTAAGTGCTACAGTCTGATAATCAATATCCTTTAAATTATGTTTAATGACTCCATTCAGAGCTCCTCTATATATAATTAAGACTTTAACTAGAAATTTTTACCCCTTTGAGCTCATTATATAGTTTGGAGTAAATAATGTCCTATTGACTGTAGGTAGATTTAATTCAAGCTTTCTGGCAGTATCATTCTCACAAAGTATCTTTATTATACTTTTGGTAGCCTCTTTCACAGCTTTCATTGTTTATTCTGAAAATTAATTCCTATTAATTATAGTTTATAGTTGGGGATTTAAAAGCTGTGATATAATTATTCATCCCAATTATAAAATTTCTTAACTTAATGAGTTAAAGGCAATCCCCTCGAGTGATGATCAGTTCTTCTAGCATCTAATAAAGACAGTACTTATCATTTTTAATAACTGAAATTCAACTTTAGAGCAAATAACTCCCAAAGAGTATATGCGAAAGGAGTGGTAGATTAAGGAGAACAGAACTAGTAAGGAAAAAAGTAACTTGGATTAAATAAGGTTAAGAAAAAGGTCACTATAGATCAAGCAACAATCGAATTTCCATTTGATGTTGAAGACCCTAAACTTATGCATAAAGCTATATTTTCATCTCCATAGAATTCATTATTGAAAATAAAGGCTACTTAGGAAAATATTCAAACTAAGCTAAGCAAGTTTGAGGATAGTTTTGCCTAGAGATTTCAGGATCAAATTGTGAAAATAGGAAAGAAGAAAATTTTAGAGTAAGACATGCCAACAATTAGAGTTTCAAGCAAAGATCCTGATCTTTGACAACTCAGAAAAGTATTCTCTATCATAAAACAGCAAAATTAGCACGAAAGTTCTGTCGAGAGTAATGAGAAGAATGAATAGAGTAATCTTTAAAAAATAGATGTCTCTGAATATTTTGATGCAGTAAGGAGTGCTAAGAAGGAAAAGGATAAAGAAGTCATATAGGAGAATAAAGAGTTGCAAATTAAGCTCTAAAAATAGCTCAGCTAATTCAAAAACTTAAAGGATGTGAATGATAAACTATTCTATACACCCGCTCTCAATCTGTCATCAATTAAATCTCCGGTAGTCAATATTGACAGCATTAATGATAGAATTAAACCACTGAGCAATAACCTTAGTAATAATGACTATAAAACAAATTCAATGGGTCATTTAAACTCAATGAATTCAACTATAATTATCCAAGATTATAGGTAGTAATAGCAAGCAAACGATGGAAGTACCAGAAATAAAAGTAGGTCTCCTGATAGACCAAATCCTATGAGACATCAGCTTTTATTAAGAAGGTATAACATAAGAAAAGCAGAGGAACAAAATAATATAATGTCTGGATCAAGGTTAGTCTAGAGCAATAAATCTCCAATGAATTCAGAAACAGGTAGTTATTTTTAACGGAAAATTACTTCAACAAGTACAAGATTTAATGACAACTAATCTATAAACACAATTTTTACTCATAGAAGAGATTCTATAGAGAATTAGTAGCAAACTTTAAAATGCCTAAACGAACAAAATAAATTATCTTACAATAAGGATGCTTTTTTGAGATTTTATAAGCTTAAGTAATCACTTTAATCTCAAAATATACTTTTTAACCAGCTTCAAGAATAGTAAAAAATTAGCAATAATGGTAGTAATCTATCAAATGTAGAAAATAATCCTGATTTCTTTGTCACGGCAAAGACATACTTTCATTAGCAGAATATTAGACATATTAGTATCGGATTCGCAATTAGTGCTATAAATGACAATATTTATTTAATCGGTGGGAAGATATCTTCCTTTACAAGAAAAGGAATAAGCAAGGCTTTCTATGATTCTGGTTTGTAAAATCTTAGATTTGAGGAGATACTTGATCCTTAATAAGATTAATCTGCACTATTTAACGATATATTCAATAGATACGGTCACCATATGCACACATTCGATGATTAGCTAGTAATTGTTGGAGGTGAATCTGGAGCCATAAACAATAACTCAGTAAGAGCTGTAATTGGTGATATTGCATTTTTAAATGTAAAAAACATGAGAAGACAAGTGATCAACTTTAGAAGGCCACTTTTTAAGTTAAGAGCTTTCGCAAGCTGCATTCTTGGTAAATACCTCTATTAGTTTGGAGGTATTATAGAATCTGGAGAAGTTTCGAATAAATTAATAAGAATAAATCTCACTTAAGACAAAAATGAGCTCTTCAAATGGAGTGATGTTGATTTATAAATTGACTAAAAATCTCTTAAGTCAATCCCTGCTCGATCCTATGCTTCAATAGAGCCAGTATATTATGAATAGAAAATTAAGAAGTACAAAGGAAGAAATCAGGATTTTAATCTGAGATCACTTACTTAAGAAATAGATTGGAAATTAGCCTCTAGTTATATTGAAGAAGAGGGTATGTATATTTTTGGTGGACTTGACGACTAAACTTAACCAAGCAATGATTTATTTATCATTCAAATTGACTAATATAAAATTCATTAAATCAAAAAACTCATAACATTTGGTAAAATACCTGCTAAGAGGTTTATGCACTCAATGAACTTATTTTAGTAGTCTAACGTCTTGATAATAACTGGGGGTAGAAATGATAACTTGCCTTAGAATAATATACTTGGAGACATGCATGTTTTATATCTTGATTCTTTAACATGGATAGAAGTATCATTTTGCAGTGCCAAAATTATACCTAGATTCTAGTTCCAGTCAGTCATAATTGATACTAAACTTATAATTATTGGCGGAATGAACAGCAGCTATAAAATAATGCACGATTATGAGGTTATAGAGCTTGATTAAGAGACAAATTTCTAGAATCACGCAAGCAAGTATCTTTTTAAGAAAATGGGCTCATTTTTAAGAGCCAATCTCGCAAAGAAAAAGTCTATGGAATTCAATAATCCACTTCAACAAAGCACTCTAGATCTATAAATAGAGTAACATCAAGTTAACAAAGAAACTCCATCAGTAATAAAATAAATGAGATCAAAGGAATAGATACTACAAGATTTATTAAAGTTAAATCTTTCAAAAGCCTATATCTCTCCTACTTCTGGAACTTAAATTAATTCTACAAAGTCAAGTCACAGTAACACTAGGTATTTAAACAAATCAAGCATAAATATCGAATAAGACTATAGGGATAATAATTTGAGCATTAACCTTCCTTAACCAAAGGAATTCATTTTTAGAGGTAAAAGAAGAAGCATAAATTGAACTGAATAAAAAATAATTGAAGTTTGAATATAATAGCCATTTGAAATCATTGATTAATCTTGATTTAAAAACTTATTTAGATATACATTCAATATTCCCTATGATCTTATGAAAGGGGTTTTGGGGTTTTGGGGTTTTGGGG